CCCCCCCCCCCCCCCCCCCCCCCAATTAAAAAAAATCAAAATTTAAAAAAAACCCTATAAATTTCCCTAAAAAAATCATTCTCTCACACAACTCTCTCACACATCTCTCTCTATCTTCTCTCTAAAATATTTATTATTTACTATAAATATTTATAAAATATATTTTAAAAATGGGATCATCTTCATCCGACGATGAAAAATATATTTTAAAAATGCTCGAAGCTGTTGCTTCGAATTACTTGTGGATTTGGCATGCTTTTGTCGGTGTCACGGGCTCGAACAACAACATCAACGTTCTCAATGAATCGTCTGTTTTTGACATTTGGGTTAATGAGACCGCACCGGACTCCTTTTTTGAGCTTAGAGGGATGCTTTACAAGTGTGGATATTATTTGGCCGATGGAATATATCCAGATTATTCCACGATTGTCAAATCCCTCTCCGAACCAATGGGTCTTAAACGCCAGACCTACAAAAAGCTCAAGAGGTGGCGAGAAAAGATATTGAACGGGCCTTTGGGGTCTTGAAGAGTAAATGACACATTCTAGATTGTCCGTCGAAATGTTATTTTCAAACAAAAATGAGGAATAACATGTACGCATATTATTCTTCATAATATGATCATAGAGTATAACGGGACTGCGATTTGTCAATACAACCCGGGCGAAGAAGTGCCTATGTACGAAGAAATCACCGAAGAAAAGAAACGAAGAAACCGCCAAGAAATTCGAAGCCGAGAGATTCACAATGCACTAACGGCGGATTTGATCGAACATATCTTTACTCGCTCGAATAATTAGTGATTTCTTTGTAGTGTTTTTATTTTGTAATATTTTTTTAATGAATGTAATTTTTTTATGAATGTCATTTTTTTAATGAATGTAATTTTTTAATGAATGTATTTTTTTATGAATGTAATATTTTTTTAAAAGAATGTAATTTTTTAATGCACTATTCTCATTGCGATTAATTTAAATAATAAATTGATTTAAATTTATGAATTTAAATTTAGAAGATTTATATTTAAAAATGTAAAAAATGAAGGTTTGAAGCCCCGGGGCTTCAAACCCATTTCCAGTGAATTTTTGGTGTAAGTTAAAGCTGACGTGACAGAGAGAGAGAAAGTTTGAAGTCCCAGGACTGATACGTATTTCCAGTATTTCCAATGCTCTGAAGAACAATATAATAAATTTACACACACACACACATATATAGATCCGCCGCCAACCAATTACTGGGTCAAGATGCACCGGGCAGGCGACCCATCTAAGGTGACCAACCTTAGTGGGAGACAGTGAATTGTGTATACTCCGGGTGCAACCCCATCCAAATTTGCATCCTCCAATGGTATTATATCCTGCAAAAAAAAAATACACCATTACATGATAAAATTGTCATATATGTATGTGTATATATATATTCTATATATGTCCTCCCACTTTTAGTTAAGATTTGTATTAATGTTCTATATGTCTTAATTAAATAAATACCTTAGTGTTCAAGAAAGTCTGGTGAACCCCAGTTAGCTCCGTCTGTATTCCAACGGCAATAGACAAGTAATCAATGCCTGCATGCAGTTTCACAGCACACATACATTCAGAGGCCATGAAAGAGAGTATTAATTATTATGAAATATTTGCACTAAATAGCACTAAAACTTAAGTCATTTCCGTAAATAGCACTTAAATTGTTTTACTCCCTAAATAGCATTTAATAATGTCCATAATGTCCTGTGATGACGAATATTTACTTGAATAATGACTAATGCATAATGACTAAAAGTGCTACATTGGGAACAAAAACAACATGTAGTGCTATCTAGGAAAAGTCATTATATTTTAGTGCTATTTAAGTAAAATCCTCAATTATTATTCGTTATGATTAAGTAGAACATTTACCAACGAGTTTGATGTCGGTGTTGTTGACCAAATATTGAGCACCGTCCGTGGTGAAACCAGTGTAATTACTTGCAAACGATGATTGGTACATTAACTTTCTATCTGTGTTAAGCGTCTTGAAGAGAACCCGTTTCACTCCTCTGGGTATATCCAATTCTTTCATCACCTCGGCTACATGCATGATGTCGCGGGATAATTAGATTCCATTGTAAAAAAAACAGTAATTGATAAGAGATAGCAAGTCATGTCTAGTAACAACTCATAGATCCTTCGAGATCAAATAAAATATCGCAATGCCTTCAAAGTCCAAATGAACCGGGTGTGATACAAAAACAACTCAGATTTAATAAGAAATAACAATCAAAAGATGATAGGGTGTTCATACATACCAGTAATATTTTTGTCTCGGGGAGTGTCAACAACCAAACAAGGACCTGCCCATGCCAAAAGACAACAAATATTAAGTCATGTATTCAAACATACATGGAGTACTTATTAAAAGGTTCATTCACATTCATTCATATTAGCTTGTAGCAATTACCGTTTAGGGTGCGGAGATCGAGAGAGTTGACGTCTAACAGATTTAAAGTGGCCAGGGGCGTCAACGTGTGTGCCAGAGTGGGTGGTAAGGGTAAAGGCATTGAGGTTAGCGAAAGCCCCCTTTTTTATGCTTGACACAGATTTAAAGAATGGTTGAAGACCATGGGGGCCACCGTAGAACGTGGGCATTCCCTCCACATACTTATGGCTGATGTCGAATACGGCCTTTTTTTGGGTGGCCCACTCTTCTTGTTGGATGAAGTTCAACATGTCGGGCGTGACCACTGATGCGCACGCGGTGGTTGCCGCTGCTGCCACCATCAGCACCGCCGCCAAACACCACGCACCCTTCATATTGGGGAGTTTAAGGTATATACTCCCACCTTATTTCATTTGTATATTTATGGTTATATATTGGGGAGCTTGATTTGCTATGGATGGGATTGGAGGGGTTTAAATAGAGATTCTTGTTGTGATGATCATCATTTGTTCTTTGGTTGATGGGTCGTGTTTCTAGGAGTTTTTGTTGTTGTTGTGTTATATGGTCAATGGTTGTTTTCCACTCCTTTGTTTGTGTTGAAGATATAAGACATCCATTCATATTATAACCTCATTTAATGATACAAAATAACCCTTAAAATACTTTTATACTGACATACAAACTATTGTTCAAACCACACAGGGATTTAAGCGAACGCTTGATGCACATTTCTCGAGGATTACAACAACAACAACAACCCGTTATTATTTCTTGGGGGTGGGGGTGGGGGGGTGCAAGCAGGCCTTTTCTATACTCGAAAGTAGGGAGGTCATTTCTTGGGAAATCAAAGACCAGAAATGGGCAAGAGACAAAAACAAGTATTGGTTTTAGTTGATGAGGATGCATCTAATGGGAGACCCCTCAGCACCCACCAACCTCAAGGGCAAGCAATGAACAGTGTACATCCCAAGCTCAATCCCTTCCAGCTTCAGCCCTTCTACCAGTATTATTTCCTGTTAATGGTGACACCATTTTTGTCCACAATAATGTTTAAGAATCGAATCAAATACTGGTACTTCGTTCCATTTCTCAAGAAACCTAAGGAAATTCCCGAGAAACTGCTTACCCGGTTTTTATGAAAAACTAGATGGGAAGTCATCAAGTCATCATATGCCGCAACAGATAAGTAATCTATTCCTGCAATTTCATGATCAACACAAATATCTCCTCTTAGTAATAATAATAACAATAATTAAAAAAATAAATATGGACTAATAATGATAGGATAGTGCAATTTAAATAAATATACTGACCCACGAGTTTAATATCGGTGTTGTCCACAAGCCATTGGGCTCCATCCTTCATGAATCCCACAAAGCTTGTGTCAAATCCCTTCTTCTTCATAAGATGCCTGAATACATACATGTTCTTGTATTGTAATGATCTATTTCGATCGATCCAATACATGAAACAAATGTTCCATAATGGAATGCCATCTATGAAATACCTGTCTGTGTTTAGTGTTCTAAAAAGCACTCTCTTCACTCCCTTTGGTATATTTAGGCCCTCCATCACTTCAGCTATATGAAGAAAGAAAGAAAGAAAAAAAGAGGAATGCACACAGGCCGTAATAAGGAGGTTTATTCGTTCATATATATAGTCATATTCCTCGTAAAATATAAGAAATGATCTTGAAGAATATTATGTAAACTACATACTCCAGATTATTAGAGCATACCAGTTATGTTCTTGTCTCTTGGAACATCAACTACCAGTGCAGGTCCTGCCAACACATCATCAATAAATCACCAAACCTTAACTCACTTGGAAGTAACGCAATAAAAACTTCTTTTGAACTCGTTTTCAAATGTTATTTTCTACTATGGAGTGGGTTTCTACTGAGCTGGACTTAATTGACCTCAACCCAACTTAAAGTTAGTTAATGGCCTTGTTTGGGAATAGCATTTTCGATTAGCTTTAGCTTTTTGGATAAAATGTTAATGGTGTAGATTAATTCTGAAAATGCTAACGCTAAATGCTACCGTCGGATAGCCTTTTCAAAACGCTAATCTCTAACGCTGTTGCCAAACAGGGCCAATGTTAACCAATGACATGAAGATTGAAAAGAACAAACTTTCAGTACTTTTCAGTTTATTTCAGTTCAAATAATCAAATACTCAATAGCAATTACAACAACAAATCAAGAAAAGAATTATACCCAAAACATACAATCAATTGCACACACAATCGCATGCTACAAACTTATGTAAGAAGGCAAAATCAAAACTGAATTGTTCAACAGTCAATTATTACTTCAGTAAATTTCATCATTCCTGAGAAATAAAAACAGGAAATCTCAATGGATTTAAAAGGAGAAATGGTTAAGTACCATTGAGGATTCTGAGGTCAAGAGAATCAACATCAAACCCTTGGTCGAAGTAATCATCGTACATGTGTCCGGGCGCATCGACGTGAGTGCCGGCGTGAACACACAGCCGCAGCTCCGACAGGTTGTAATCGGAACCGTTCTTCATGCTCATCAGCAGACTCAGGAATTTGCCGATGCCGGCGTCGGAGTTCCCGGAGGGCGTGGTCGGAGTGTACGGATGAGTGATGTCGAATATCTCTCCGCCTCCGTACACTTCCCTTCTATGGGGAGCCGGAGGAGTCGGGTTGTTGCTGGATCCGAGACAAGAACCCGGTTCGTCGCCGTACCCGGATGGATATGCGGCGTCATCGGAAAATGACGTGGCAAGAAGAGATAGCAGGATGAGTACTATTACTGGTAGATTGCCTAAGGCTCCCATCTTTCTTTCCAAGTATGGAAGAAGATTCCACTCTAGCAAATTCTTTTTCTTTTTTTTTCTATTTAAACATTTTTTTTCTATTTACTTAAACACAAATAAGTCACCAGCTCTTCAAGTTCAAGATAGAGTGGCAAAACAGTGAAAGACAATTTGAATAACACTCGGACACCCCATTTTGTTACACTAAATATATATGAATGCACAAATAAACATGCACAGATCTTTAATATCTGTGCTTGCACAGATATTAGGTGTCTATGTGTGTTTATTTGTGCTTCGGTGTACACTTGGTATAATGATATTCTCCTAACATTTCCATCTATTTATTTGTATACTCCGTATAATTCTGAGGATTCAAAGTAATTTTATCACATAGGACCTCATATGTATATGGTCAACCCTGAATTCTGATAATAAATTATGAAAAATTATACTCCCTCCGTCCCCCTAAGATGTTCTCATTTTGACTTTTGGTGATTTTTAAGGAGAGTTGAAAAAAGGTGAAAGTTTACCATAATACCCTTAATGAAAAATGGGTAGAGTGTATTAAATGAGGTGGGTGAGGTGTAATAAATAAAGTAAGTGGGGGTAGTTGTGGTATTTTAATTGTTAAAAAATGAAATAAGAAGATCTATTGTGGACATAGAAAAAGAGCTATTGAGAAGATCTATGAGTAACGAAGGGAGTATTTAATTATTGTAATTGAGTATCAAGTTTGATGGTGTAAATTATCGACCAGTATACCGTTTTTAGCCCGGCTAAAACGATAAACTAGTCTAAAAATACACCAAAATATAAACACGAGGATTTTGACGTGGAAACCCAAATCGGGAGAAAACCACGGGCCTTTTTTGGCGGTACCTTGCCAACGGGGGATTTTTATTAATATCGGGGGTGTGTACACAGTACAAGAGTTCGGCTCGGAAGCCATTAATGGTGGAGCTAGAAGCTCTTGAAGAAGGAAAAATATACTCTAAAAATACCTAGAGAGAGAAAGTAGCAGGAGAGGAGTGAAATTGGCCTCTTCAACAATTAGGGCAACCCTCCCTTTTATAGGAGAGGGTGAGAGGATCTACGGAGGAATATTCTCTTATTCCTCTATTTTATTAAACAGGCCCGGTTTAACTGTTCTTCGTAAATAATTGGGAAATGTGGGCCGAGCCACGTATTATTTCCCATCAAGAAGTCTTCCACTTTTTTGAGTTGTGAGAATCATCAACTAAAAAAAGTAAACAAGTCCTCCGAGTGTGATCTTCAGTCTTCGTACCTTGAATTCTTGACCGGTAGATATTATTGCTAGTCCTCCGAGTCTTCATTAATTCTCTAATTCCTTGCATCATAAGTTTTTTCCTGCAAAAAATAATTTGTACAACATTTCTTTTTTGACCGACCGGCCTATGCCGTGCTCAAAAAATTATTATTTTTACCGAGGAGCTCGGTGTTAGGGTGGTTAAAATTCGCGAGAATAATTATCGTAACAAGAGCGATGTCAGTTCGATAAAGCAACGATGCTTCGAGTAGTTATACGACACCGGAGTTAGTACGATGAAGCGGCGGTGCTTCAAGTAGTTATTTCGTCGAGACCGATGTCAGTACGGATTAAGTAAACGATACATAGCGAAATTAGTATATCGAAGTAATCGATGTTACTTAATACGAATTAAGTATGTTGCAGCAACTTTGTCGAAGATCGATGCTAGCCCGGCTAACTGATGCAAATATCTTCATGTCATGCAGAGACCACTTCCGGAGTGCTTTGTTCAAAAGGCTTGAAGAATCGGGCGCCCCCGATAAGGGCTCAGCTGAGCCACCGGTGTACCCAATTCGATTGGGGTCAGACTTACGAGAAAATATGTGCAAGACCGGTGTGTATATCATTCTTGGCCTGTCTCGCGCACAAGAATGATATTTACCAGCGTGCCAGGCCGAGCCTGTGTCACATATTTTAATATTTTTTATTATACTGAGCAAGACCGGTGTAGTAACCAGCGTGCCAGGCCGGGCCTGTGTCTCAGTCTTCCTCTTTTTTTTTAATACTGAGCAAGACCGGTGTTGTAACCAGCGTACCAAGCTCGGCTTGTGTCTCAGTCTTCCCTCCGAATTCTTCCAAATGGTATGTACAAATACCCAAATTATTGCTCCATAATGCTAACTCATTCCACCAATTGTTGGTGGTAGACCCGAATGAGGAATAAGTGGGGAACTTATTTCCTCCTCGGCAATATTCAATGCACCTCTCCCACCAAAATGATTAATTGATGGGCCGTGAGAATAAGTGAGTCTTCTTGGATTCTTCCTTTCGCCATGGAGTGACTTGTTTTTGTATATTGTAGAGGTATATATAATGCTTGGAAGAATCATAAATGGTCCCGCTTCCAATTCTTGCTGCCCATGACTCGTGAGCCTCATCACATGGACACATTTCCTTGATTTTTTCAATTGGAGTATTTCAAAATGTAGTGGGAATGGACCCCACCATCCACCACTTTGCTCATTGTATTCTTCACGTGGTGCCTATCTTTACTCTGTCAAATCTTCAATTCTTCATTGGCATGTACCTCTTTGGCTCCGCATGTGTTGGCAGTGAAAGTGTAGATGTGATGGTGGCACATCCCCATAGTGGCATCAATGTTGTAATTCATTACCATCACTTTAATTAGAATTTGGCCGCCGCCACTTTGCGACGGAATTCGGTTGCTTGTGATGGAGGGCTTCAGCGACGTAATTGAGATGATCACTCCTCGGCACATGGCGGCTGGTTTTATAGGGGCAGTGGTAGATTTCAATTTCAATGATGGTCACAGGTTGCTTAGTCTAGAGCTTTAGCCGCGGTAACCACTCCAGCAATTTGGTGGTCACTCATTAGCTCCCTTGCAGTTTTTAGCCGTATGGAAACTCTAACCATATGTGGGAGCAATGGTGAGTTAGTCCGGAGATGACCGGCAACTTTTCCATCCAGTCTCGGCAACAACGGCTGCGAAATTGGGCAGCGGCGAGAACATCTCAGCACAAAGAGTGGACGACATAGATGACGAGGGCGTCGAAGGCGCCGCGGTAGTAAGCGGAGATGACGGCACGGAATCGTTCCGGGTCGGCGGTGCCTTAGATTTGGCAGATGCAGTTGAGGAAGCAGTTGAAGAGGCAGCCGCAAGGGTTGCAGCCACTCCGACGTCGCGACGTCCGTGGCCGTAGAAGGATTTCCTTGATTTCAACTTGGCCGGCCGTGAACAGAGATGGAATCTCGGCCAATTTCCTCCTCATTATTGTAGATTTGCAGTCCTAGATCTGGAAAGAGTTCGGCCCAGACAAATGTAAAACCAATTGGAAAGGTAATGGTCGCTTAGCTCCGGCGGTGGTGAGAGACTAGGGCAGCTTCAGCGATATACGCCAGTTGTGAGAGAGAAGGTTGCGGCGACTTCTGGGAGATCTTATGGGGGCAGCAACTCTAGCCCGCTCCAACCGCAGTGGCTTCAATTGCTAAGCTTTTCTTTCTTTAGCCTCTTTTTTTTTTGCAAACCTCCAGAACCAAAACACATGTTCAGTGTTCCAAAAGCAATAATTTAGCAATTTCTCCCTCTTTCTAGCTTCTTTCTTTTTGACACTCCAAAGCCTGTCTCCCTTTACTTTTTTTGCAACTATGACTCTTTAGGTTGTGCAAGATGGCCGAACAAAAATGGAGCTTTTTGTTCGGGTCCCACGGTCGGCGCCAAAATGATGGTGTAAATTATCGACCAGTATACCGTTTTTAGCCCGGCTAAAACGATAAACTAGTCTAAAAATACACCAAAATATAAACACGAGGATTTTGACGTGGAAACCCAAATCGGGAGAAAACCACGGGCCTTTTTTGGCGGTACCTTGCCAACGGGGGATTTTTATTAATATCGGGGGTGTGTACACAGTACAAGAGTTCGGCTCGGAAGCCATTAATGGTGGAGCTAGAAGCTTTTGAAGAAGGAAAAATATACTCTAAAAATACCTAGAGAGAGAAAGTAGCAGGAGAGGAGTGAAATTGGCCTCTTCAACAATTAGGGCAACCCTCCCTTTTATAGGAGAGGGTGAGAGGATCTACGGAGGAATATTCTCTTATTCCTCTATTTTATTAAACAGGCCCGGTTTAACGGTTCTTCGTAAATAATTGGGAAATGTGGGCCGAGCCACGTATTATTTCGGTTGTTTTATATCTTTTTGTCTCATATCTTTCTTCAATTTTTTCTTATTCGGTTGTTTTATATCTTTTTTCCTCTTTTCTTATTTGACAAATAAATAACACTACATTGACTTTTTTGCCCTTATACTACTATTCAGTTTATCTCTTTCACCTATCATATCAATGATGGAATTATAAAATAAATTACTTTTACATCTTACGTTCAGATTAGTGTCAAGTAAAATTTGGTATATTTGTAAGAAAGCTGGGTTATAATAGTTTGAGTTTTTTTCATTTGAAGCATTGGTTTGTTGTATATAATGTTTGGATTCTCTCTATTGTGTTTTAAACTTATTTGCATCCCGTTCTAAAAATGACGTGATTTTGAAACATTGGATTTTTTAACATTTATTTAAAATAATAATGACGGCTCGGAGTATTTACCATTGATCAAAGTGTGTAACAATTTGATGAAAGAGTCAAATTAAGAAAACTTTTTAACACGAAAGAGAGTGTATCACTCTGATTTTGGAGATTAAACAATTTTTTATGCTATTTAGAGTGGTTTTTAATTTTTACAAAAAACAAAAGGATTGCTCAAAGATAAAAGATGTGAGGTTTTTGGTGCGGTAATTCTCAAAATAATACTCAATAACAATGTGTTTTTTCCAAATTAGTCTCTAAGATGAATGAATTACTGAGATGATATTCGTTAATTGAAAATAATACCCAGTGTAGTCCCTCCAATTAACGGCCATAAAATGAAGTCAAAACTACATTAAATCTTATACGGAGTACTTATTTTCCAAAATGATCATTTCTAACCGATTTTTTTTCAAATTGGTCAACTTTTAAAAAAAATCTCATAGAAGTCTCTCGGCTTTCCTCAAACACCGTGAATCAATTAAAAAGGAAGAAACATGCTTTGTTTTTTCATATTATATGATTTTTACATCTAAAATAAACTAATTTGAAAAAACTTCTAAATTATATATGATCAATTTGGAAAAACTAATAAAAGTTTTAATGTCGTGACACAGTTTTGATGACTGTTTGTCGGGAAAACTAAACCGGACATTATTTTTAATTGGCGAGTACCAACTTAATACTCAGTAATTAATTCATCTTGAAAACTTGAGAAAATACTATTTTAAAATTTACTCTTTTTCGATGTAAAGAAAATAAATAGGCGGGCTAAATTTCCTCGAGTAATATTGGGCCGAATTCAGGCCTAACTAGTAACTGCACTCTTCTAGTGTTTCATGAGTTGCACTCTTCGTTTTCTTTTTTTCCTATTCGCCGCCGATTCCATCTTCCCAGTCGCGGTTCTTCTTTATCGACGACCCGGAGGCAACGGTCTTTCTTCTTCTCCCATACGTTGATTGTTCTTCCCCGCCTCAACTCCGGCTACGGGTATGACTTAGTTTGTTCTATTTTTTTTCAATTTTTGGAAATCTGCTGTTTGAGTTCACCCGGGCGCTTTTCCGTCGGGTTTTCTGCAATTCCGGCAACTTCCGTCGACGTTCCGGTCTCGCAAACCTCCCAGAAGCCTCGTCCTGCCTCCACGACCTTGGTGGAGCCTTCAATTGCTTCGATTGGATCCCATTCTCAGAATCCCCAATTCTCACCCGCTAGGGTTTTCTCGCCGGAAAAAGCTTTAATTCCGTCCAGTAATGACCCCGACCCTCCGTTTCGTTCTCATTTCTCAGCCCTTTGTTTTTTGAATTTGTAATTTGCACACTGAGTAGGCAGGTTGAGATAAATACAACAAACTAATAAAGCACAAAACAAGCACAGGGTTATTTAAGTAATTTTGTTGCTTTACCTACCTTGCATTACCTCCTAATAAAAATCCAAACACAAATTTTTGACTTATTATCTTACTTTACATACCTTCAATTACCTACCTACCAAAGAGACCTTCAATTACCTACCTACCAAACTTACCAACAGTCTATATTTTGTTGTTTTATTCAAACTACAGGGTTGTCATTTTGTAAAATTATTGGATGTCTCTAATTATCTACCAGGTTTTGTTGACACCAGAGTACGGTGCTATTATGCAATGCATAATAGCTACACATTTTGAGGGGCAGTAGGGGTAGGGCTGAGGTGGTGGTGCAGTTGGGGTTTAAGGAGGGGGTTAAGTGGTAGGAATCATCAATTTTACAAACAGAGAGGTGCACCAAATGGGCTAGTTTCATCAGTTGACATTACATGTCACTGCCAACAGAACCTTACCGAATTTTTTACGGATTATTACGTTAGAATATATGTAATTAAATGTTATCTTTATAGTACCTCGTACATTACATTAAGAAATCTGCATTTTAGTCGGAGTTCTTTTTATTCCTAGGTCCAGTAAAAGAAAGTTTTATGAAGAGAAACTGGATTGCTATAGTGAAAAAAGTGAACAATTCTAGTTCAATTTGTAGCTGGATCATGAGATGTTTTCACCCTTCCATATTTTGGGTGGGGATAAATTTTAGTAAAGAGCTAGCATTTTTTATTGAGATCCATGAACTAACATTCCTCCAGTCACTTTAAAAACGATTTTTTCAGCTCAAAATACACATATTTACATTCTGTCAATGGTATTTTTCTTTTTGTATTTTAGAAAAGTTTCTCGTAATTATGCGTATCTTCTGTGTGTCGTTTGCCTTTGTATCTTACTTTTGTTGGCATCTCAAAGTATTTCAAATCTTGCATGACTCTCTATATTCAAACACCACACAATTGTTGGAATCCTTATAACTGCATTTATATTTGTTTTGAGCAGGCCTGCAAGTTTTGTTTTGCAAAAGCAGGGGTGTAGCTTCAATATGGGAAAATCTAGGCCACGGTAAGTAGACAAATTCTAATTGTATTGTTTATCATCATTCCTTATCATTTATGTGAATTGCTTTCAAGTGTTGCTGCTTCAATGCCACTGTGGTTGCCTTTTTCCATTCTAAATCTATTGTGGAATGTGGTTCATCCAGTATTTGACTTGCATGCAAACATCGCATGCTACAGATTAATACTACGTATATTTTAAACAAAATAAATTGGATAATGAAATTTTGTTGTTCTTTTGCCTCAGTGAAGAAGCAACCGCACGAGCTAATCACAAGTTTGAGAAGAAAGTACAGTTTTATACAAGTAAGTGGATGCAGTTAGGCAATTTTTCGAAATAATATTTTCCGGTGGTTGAACTATTATGATGGTTTTATGTATGTGAAGAGGTCAAGGATACGGTTGCCTCGTTGAGTGCTCAGAAGTCCATCACTAAGGTATGCCTTATTCCACCCATCCCTTTTCCGTTCCTGATGTCGCCTTAAAGGGTGTTACTAGTGAAGATTATTTATCTATATATATTCTTTACTCCCTAAAATCTTTCGTTCTGCAAAAGAATGCACTTTCCACACACATGCAAAAATTTGTGTTTGATCCCCGGATGACCTTAATGTCACAAACTTCTTTCAAAAGGAATGTTGAAATGGAATTTAAAACTGTCATTATCATATTGTAATATTCCTTTTATATGAATAATATCACGAGACAAATATGTTTTGAGATATTCTCAATGTTCTAGTTTATCATGTTGTCTTTTTGGTTCGTCTCCATTTTTCTTGTCATTTCTATTTATAGAAAGCATTATGTAGATTTCTACTGTTTTCTATTAGCATCCCGATTAGCAAAGTTGTGTCTTTTTCCTTTCATGAAAGCTAAAGTTTATTCGTTCTTGAGTCGTGAGCCCCCGTCAATAAATGTTCCATGTCATATTTACTAAGACGATGTTTCCCGTGATTCCTTTACTTCTAAGTAGGGGTAAGATCTGCGCACACACACCCTCCCCGGACCTTATTGTGAGATTTTATTGGGTTTTCCTGATGTTTATTGTGATTACCAGAAGACCAAGGCACAACGGAGGAAAAAGAAATTACAGGCATACGATCTTTCTCGTCTTTCAGAGTCCTTGCCTGAGTTGAGTGCTCTTCATCAACCAAAAAAACCAACTGAACTTAAATTAAACAGCAAAAACAGACAAAAGCTAGTGTGAGGAATTATTCAACCAAATCTTTTTCTTTAGCTTTATCATTCACACATTTTATCCTAACATTGTGAAAATCAAATGTTATATCATCAGGCTAAAGGAGAGCAAGCAGTTGCAGGCTGTCACTAACCATCCTGCTTTCCAGTCGAATCCCGTTGAAGCCATTTTCCAACATTTGCAGAGCACGCTTCCCCCGGACAATAAGAAACCGAAACGACATATCAAGAAGAAAACTGGAAAAAGCAAAAAGAAGAAATCGAAGCCTCAGTCAATGGAGACCTGATGATCTCTGGTGTCTCATTTCTCTTGGCTGCATATCAATGGCCAATGGGTCCTTTGTGTTAGTAGTATTCATTTTTGGCAGTTTTTTTGGGTATTGAATATTTGTTTAAGCATACTTATTTAAACTTTTTTTTAATAACTAAATATTCATCTTCTTAGGGTAAAAAAAAATTGTTAAGTTGTTAGAAGTTAACTTTAGGGTCAAAAAATTTGTCTTTAAAATTAACTAAACTTGCATCTTGTAATCGACGTGGGTCACTGTGTGGGAGATGGGTTGGGGTACGGATTGAGTGGGGGTTTATCAGAGGGGTTAGGAGGGTATAAACTATCAATTTTATGAGCGGATCACCGTAAGTATCCTAATTGAGCCGGTGTTTTCCAGAGACACTGACGTAATTAATGTGAAGAATGTAATGAAAAGGCAATGACAAAGGGGGTGGGGGAAGAATAGTGTTGCCGATGGACTATCGAAGATTGTGCTCAATCAGAATAACACATGGTTTACTTTCGAATCACCTTTGGAGGAAGTTTAGGTTGCTTATTTTTAAGGAAAAATTACCCAAAATAATCCCAACTTTACTCGGTCTTTCAAAAATAATCTCACCTTTCACTGTGATGCATAATAATCCCAACTTTACTGAAATTTACCAGTTTTGGGTCACCGTTAAGTTTCTAACGGAGGGATAACGGAAATGCCCATTTTAGGCAACAAAATGAAAGTTGGGATTATTTTTGATGAATTTTTGTTTTTTAATTTTTTTTAAAATTTTTATTTAACTTTTTTGAATTACTTTCAACCTCCATTTCTTTTTCTTTTTTAAAGATTATTCTTACCTTAGAAAAAAATAGATATAAAAAATAATGAAAATTAGAAAAATAACTAAAATCATACAAAATTAATCAAATAAATAATGTAATCAATAGAAATTAAACAGAAACTGGTAAGAAATAAAATAAATATATATGGAGTCGTGGGTTTAACATTTTACACACTATACGGAGTCTTAATGTACTACTTATTTTTTAAAAGAACAAGCCGTCCGGTAAAGTTGGAATTATTGTAGATAATTTTTTCTAAAAAATAAGAAGTGATATGTTAATGCTTTGTATAATGCCTANGGTGGAGGTAGAAAGTAGTTTAAAAAATTTAAATGAAAATTTCAAAAAAAATTAAAAAACAAAAATTCATCAAAAATAATCTCAACTTTCATTTTGTTGTCTAAAACGAGCATTTCCGTTATCCCTCCGTTAGAAACTTAACGGCGACCCAAAACTGGCAAATTTCAGTAAAGTTGAGATTATTATGCATCACAGTGAAAGGTGAGATTATTTTTGAAAGACCAGGTAAAGTTGGAATTATTTTAGGCAATTTTTCCTATTTTTAATGATAAGAGTGGACTACCAATAACTAGGAGTATAAAAAAACTCCTAGTTATTATAATTTTTTCTTTTATACTCGGTATTATAAAATCAAAAAGATAAAAAAAATCAAATAAAAAAATAACTTTTGAGATAGGCTTTAAAAAACTTTGACTTGCGAGTTAGGATAAGGATAAATAGACGCATAACATTTCTTAAAAACGCGTTCTTTATTGAGAGAAATACCAGTAAAAACTATTGGCTTTTTACCGCAAATGTCCTCCCCTATTAATTACGGTACGGCACTACGGCCAAAACAAAAGATAGAAAGTCTCCCAGCGCGGTAACTTTTGAAACTTCAAATAAATGACGCAACTTCCGTAACGGCTTCAAAAAGGTCAAAAAGGCGTTAGAATACCTAAACCCGTCCGGTGCGATTTTTTCGGTGATTCGTCAGTACACGTCGCCACGTATCCCCCCATGGCTGTACTCCCCCCTTCCTAACCGCCTCCTCCCCCCCCCGCGCCTATTTAACTGTGTGAAACGCTCCGTTTCTGTTCGCAGTCGCGGCTATGGTGGTGGAATCCGATCGGGTCAGGGGTCCGTGGAGCGCGGAGGAGGATGAGTCGCTGAGGAAGCTGGTGGCGCTTCGCGGCGCTCGGAACTGGGCGTCGATTAGCCAGTCGATTCCTGGACGGTCCGGGAAGTCGTGCCGCCTGCGGTGGCATAACCAGCTGTCGCCGGCGGTGGAGCACCGGCCGTTCACGGCGGAAGAGGACGCGGTTATTGTCCAGGCGCACGCGGATTTCGGGAACAAGTGGTCCGCCATCGCGAAATTGCTCAACGGGCGGACGGATAACGCCGTGAAAAACCACTGGAACTCGTCGCTGAAGAGAAAGCTTTCCCATTGCGGCGGAGGAGAGCAGCGGCCGGGTCAGATTCTGAGGCGGCAGGGAAGTGCGGACGTCGCGTCGATTGTGAGTCCCGACCGCTCCTCGGAATCCGGCATCAGCTATTCCCCGGCGGTGGAACCAGTCTCGACGCAGGCCGATCCGTTGACTGCGTTGACTCTTTCGTTTCCGGCACAAAGAGCGAATCCGGAAGCTTTGAGGCCACGGGATCTTCCGAATGGCCGCCATGGGAATTGGATTGAGGGGACGGAGTTGGAGAATGCCCCGCCATTGAATCCGGAATTACATTCACTGATGCAAGAAATGATTAGGAAGGAGGTAGAGAAGTATTTTTTACACTGGACTTTATCTCATCAATGAGCAATGCCTGTTTGTTGTTCGTTAAGGAATATTATTATTAACTTACTGTTTTTATTTAATCTTTTCTTCTTCCATAAACATTGCATGAATCATTCATTATCGGAAAATTAGCACTCATAACTTGTCGTCAAATAGAGACCAATTGTGACCACTACATTGACTACAATACAAGAAAATGTACTCCAGCAACAGATTTTGATCATATCAGTGGCAAGTTTGATTGGAGGAAATTGCCCCTTTTCTAAGAATTATTTGCAAACACAAATTTACAATAACATTTTCTTTTTTAGAATGTCTGCAGCAACTTATTCAATAAAAATTGACTCAAGAGTAAAGAAATGAACAACCATTCACTTGATTTATTGATATCACTTATAGAAGAAAATAAGATGTCTTTATAAAATGCTTTTTCTATCCTGAAATTATTATCTTACTTCGAAAAACATGTGAAGTTTTATCTCTTTCGAAATCGGTTTCATTTATAAATTGGTTTAAAACTCAAAATATACACTATATATTTAAGTATACATCAAAAGTTCTTTTTCATGTCCTAATTTAATTAGTCTATTTCGATTTACGATATTTCACTGCAATTATTTCTAATGCAATTATTACAGAATTAGAGAAAAATTAAAAAAATTACATGCTGAAAAAATTAATCAAAAGCTTTACGAAACAAGAGTTGTTCTGACTTTATTAATTTATCAAATGAGTCACAAAAATATAGAAAGTGAATAAAATGTGACCATGTCAATAGTAAATAAGCAACTCAATTTGGAATGTAGGGAGTAAAAACTAGGATTCAAATAAATATTTTATTTTATCAAATAACCAACCAAAATGTGCAAAGTAACAAATTTTCAAAAATCTAAAAGTGATGATAAATTTGGGATGAAATGAGTATTGTTAACACATGATTTTTAGTATTGATCATATATTTGTAATGTTCATCCATTTGCAAAAACAATGATTTCTATCTCTTAATCTTTCACCAAAGTCTCTCGTTTCCCAATTCTCCACACCCTCACTTCTTACTCTTTTTTCTTAAGAGTGGGAAGTTAGGAGAAAAAAATTATTAAGTTCATCATTTTTACAAATGAGGCATTGTAAATGTCTAAAACGTAAGTCTTTGTATTATGGGATTTTCTGTGTCGTTACTTATTGACTTACTACCTCCGTCCCATTTTATAACGCCTGTTTCGGTTTACGATGTTTGATTGAAATTATTTTCAGACCATTTTATATGACAAATGGTATAAAACTAAAAAATAAAAATTACATATTAAAAAACTACATCAAAAGATCTACAAAACTAGTAGTGACAATAATATTTTATTTTATCAAATTGCTAACGAAAATAGAGAAAGAAAGTGAATGAAGTTTGACCCTGTGAATAGTAAACAAGCATTATAATTTGGGACGGAGGGAGTATAACATAAGTTAAATGATAGATAAATCATTTGCAAATATTTATAAATATTGATGGATAGTTTTATAAATAATCTGGTCGAAACGGAGAAATAAAAAACACTGACCTAAAAATAACTTGATAAGACCTTTTTATTTTCTATAGTTTATAAGCATAAATAAAGATGTCATGAGCTGATTTATAAATTAGAAACGATTTATATACTGTTTCGACCAAAAAGTCCAATATTACCCCGCCGGTGGGCCTGATGTTGTGATTATTGGGCTGGATCGAGTTTGTTCACCAAGCGTCAAAAATAGCGGTCTGGAAGCTTCCGTCTAGAGATAGACGAATCGCTCGAAGGGCCCGACCGACCGGAGAAGAGTCCCAAGCTTCAACCGGCGAAGATCTCCGATCAGATAGAAGAACAAGGAGAAGAAGAAGCAGAAGCTGAAACAGCACCGGCGATATGCTTCCCACATCTTCATCGAAAGGGCGGACAAGCTCTCACGCCCGGCCTAATTCCGTTCTCCCTCAGTACCTCCGTAGAATTGTCAAGGTTCCCATATCTCATCTTATTATCAGCTCATTTCTTTTGATTTATACGTGCTTCAATTATATTTTGTTCTGAACATCAATGCACATGCTAATACGCTGGCGCGTTTTGTCACCTTTACTTTGTCTTGCAACATGTATAGATGATAGATCAGATCCCTAATTTGTGCATTGGTAACTTGAAATTATCCCTCTCTACTGGGGAAAAGAATATCATATTCTGCATCACATTTTTTTGTTGGGATTCTGTGTGATGATTGGTGAGTTATGAATAATAGTACATTCTGGACTGTAAATTGGAGCTCTACATGTTAGCCACGGCTTGAATAGCTCGTTTTCTAGAAGCATTTGGTGAAAGTGGTATAAATGTTGTATGGTGCGAGTAGCATTTTAAGAAAAATGTTGGGTTTTTTTATGTGAATGGCAAAGCACAGGTCGTGATGTACTTCGTCATTCACACAAGTAACTAATGCCTGAAATTGATGTTCACAATAGTGGAGTGAGATCCAAACTTTTGTGTGTAGTTGAAAGTGGAATTAAAATTATTCACATACATCATCTTCAGGCAATACGGTAGCAAGTGTTTTTTGCTGGTTATGAGCCTGATGTGTGAGCTTCCTTAAATTTGTGACAGTATTGCTTTCATGGATGCTACTTTTTTCTACCAATGAAAAGCCTAAATGATAATTCTCCTAATCCTTTGCAAGCCATAGATCCTCAAAACACAATGTCACTTCAAAATTTAGGATTTATGTTTCCTATTTTCCAGCAAGGTTGAAATTTGAAAATCACTTGCACATTGCAATATTGCATCTTTATGTATTCAAATCAATTTTCACCTTCATTTACTTAAATTTATTATGTATAAATGTATTGTGTTGTTATCATTTCAGTCACTATTCATTATTCATGTCTGGCCATTTAGTAATTTTTACGTTAAAAATTGCAGTGGCAACAAATGGACATCGAATATACTTTCTGGCAAATGCTCCACCTATGTACCTCTCCAAAAGTGGTGTTAGTATTTCTAGATCTATGAATTTGTATGACATTTTCGTGCTGACAACATCGCAGGTTCATTGATAAAAGGCGTGTTTTTAAAATTTCTCCCTCCCCTCCCGTGCTGAATCACAAATGGATAGCATCAAGAATTTTGTTTTTTATTTGATGAAAATATGAAATTAGAACAAGAATTTCAAGAAATCCAAAGAGCTAAACTCTGTTCTTTAACTCTTAAGTTGTATATTCTTTATTATTACTTTTGCATGTTGCACGCGCAATGCTTCTACGGATCCAGATATCAGCACACTAAATACCACAAACGTAAGTCTTATATTTTTGTATCTTTCATTTTGCAAACATTTTGTACTTGCTTTTTTGAAAGAAAAAAATCCATTGTACTACATTACTAAATCAATTTCTTTAGGAGGCTTATTACAGCTGATACGCTAATGCATTTATGTGTGATTTCCTGTAAGGCCCTGTAAGGAGTTTACAAACTCAATTATTTTTGTTTAAAGATGTTTTTCTGTTTGGTCTTTGCTTTCTTGCCAGACAGATCAATTCCCTATGTAAGCTAATTCTTAAACAAAGATTATTGTAAATGTCATACCAGAAAAATGAAACAAGAGATTACATTGTTCACTGAGCTAAGTTAATGAAGTGTTATATTTCATTTCCAGAACATGCCACTCCCTTCATAGTTTGTTTATGTAATTTATATGTTAATTTTGAGCATTTTCTATGTTAGATTCTTTTGTTGACTACTGCCTATTATATTAATAGCTATTATATTACTCTGTATTATTCTTTCAATTGATTGCGTTTTAACTTAACCTTTCAAACTATATTTCTTGGTTGCAGAAACTAAGAATCAATGGGCACGTGATGATCCTGCCTTCATTGTTATATGCAGTCTTCTTTTGTTGGTTTCTACATTAGCGTACTGTGCTGCGTATGTATTCATTACTATTTATGATTTAAGATATCTTTAAGCCTTACTGAAGTTGTCCTTTACTGAATGCTAAAAATGATTTTAATACTGAAATTGTCACTTATAGTTATCCACTAGTTGATCTTTATATTTGCGATTATAATGCTGCATTAACTGTAATGACGCCAATCCAAGTCTTAGAGACTATAAAACATCAAATGAGATACGAAGTAGTATATCTTAATCTACATTTTTATTAGTTATATTCATCACGATTCTCCAAAAGTATATGTCATAACATGGCTTCTGAGTTTTTGATTTCTTCTCAAATAAACATTTAGTCTTTTGATTGTGTATGGTTCTACTGAAGCATGTTGTTTGTTTTTTTTCCTTGTTTCAGGTATGATCACAGTGTGGGGCATACAATTTTTGTGGTCATTTCTATTTTTCTTTTTCATTTTTTTATAACTGGAGCTGCGTTGTCAACATGCTGTTGGTAAGAGAGCCTATTGTTAATCCTTATGTTATTATTTCTGTAATTGGCGTAAATGGTGTGTCATGCTTAGCCCATATGCTTATTTTTTTCTGGCTATTTGTTTATGCCTAGCCCATATGTTATTTTCTCACTGATTGGGCTAACGGTGTGTCATGTTATGTTGTGGAGTTATTTTACTATTCAATACAGAATTATAGATGTCATTTCTGGAATGAAAAAGCCTGTCTTGGAAAATTTAAAGTTACTGTCCTTGCAGGTTCTTGACCAACAATTATCTTAGAGAGGAAGCTCCAAACAGTCATGTGGTGGAACAACGGGTAGAATGGTAAGTTTCGGTATCTCTCCGTCTTGTATTTGCTAATTTCTTTCCTTGCCTGCAATTTATTTCTCTAATTTAATATGTTGAAATTACCATTGATCTGCCAAGGCAAAAAAATCCCTATTAGTAATAATGTTATTATTTTATATAATAGAATTTGGATCAAGAAATTATTAATGTTGTTGCTGGTATTCTTCCCATCTTGCAAATATATTAATTGATTTGAAATTGGATTATATTTGCTCCATTTATAGTAACCTTTTTGGTCTTGTGAAGGTTGTATGCATTTGATGTCCACTGCAATTCTTTCTTCCCAGTGTTCATCATGCTCTACGGTAACAATCATTTTTCAAAAGAGATAACGTTAACCCCCGAATGTTGGAATGTTTCTCATGTTTTTTCTTCTTTTTTTTCTTGTGCAGTTTTGCATTATTTTATATCCCCAATTTTGGTTGCTCACGGTTTCATTCCCCTTTTACTGTCGAATGTGCTCTTCATGGTTGCTGCCTCCTACTACCACTACCTCAACTTCTTAGGCTATGATGGTAAGACACACTTCCTCGGTTGCTCCATTCGTACTCGCTAGGCATACAGTCCTCAAATGAAAACTTGTAATAATTTTACTCGTCTCGTGGTACAGTATTGCCCTTCCTGGAAAGGACCACTTTTTTCTTGTACCCAATTGGCATAGTTATTGTCCTTTCGCCTATTTGTAAGTATCACTTCTCTGGTCTTTTTGCTTTCTTTCTTATATACTACCCCTGCTCCCAAAATGTTTACTCCTTCGTCCCAAAGTGAAGTTAACATGTTCCTCTTTTGGATATACCAAAATGAAATATACACTTTTTCAACCACACATGTTTCACTTTTCAATACTTTTCTCAATTCCTTGAAGTGGGTATATTTCTGCGAAGGAAACAAAAGAGTCATTCTTGAATAAGTCACTGTTTCATCAGGAATGAAAGCCAGCCTCTTTTGTTGAAATATGACTCTTTTTGGATGGAAGCCTTATTTTACCTTTTCGTTGTAATGAAATATCTAATGCTGTGATAACATTTTCTTGTTTGCAGTTATATTGAGTGGTTTCAACCCATCAAGATATTTCATGAACCTGTATTTTAGCAGAATTTTATGATCGCGGCCAAATTTTGAGCGACCTGGTGAGTGAGTCATATGACATTCTTGTGGGGTGGGTGGGGGGGTCTGTAGTTGCGTGTCGTTAGCGTATCTTAGCTCAGATTGGAACTTGTTAAAATATCTGCCACTCTGGTGTGGACTTTTACATTATTAGGGGACAGATAAGGAGTAGAGTAGCTTATTCAATATGAGTATATATAATTCGCAGTTTACCTCTTCTTCGGCCATTGGATTTGGCATCCTCCTCCGATCTTGAAATGTGGTTTCAAAATATGGAGTATAATACATTTACAATATCTACACCTATATATAATTTAAATATAAATATTAGTGGCTAAGTTTATTTAATGATTAAAAATTAAATGAGAAAGAAAGATATAAGAGTGAGCGTGTATTTGGGAGCAAGGTCAAGTGCTCTCTTGGCATGTCTGTATTGTGTGTACATTTCAACTATTTGTAGCTTTGACTTTGGAGCAATTCCACATTTTCTCGTCCAATACCATCAACCGACCCATTGACAAATTATGCAATCATACTATCGATAGCATTAAATGTCTCAAATGCAATATTTTAATGGATATCCTCTCACGGGTATTTCTCAAATTTTCCACCTCTCTCTGAGTAATTGTCAACTTTTGACTTTTTTTGGTCAAAATTGATAAATTTTATCCTCAAATTAAATAAAAAAGATGTCAAATATTAATACAAAAATAGTTTTATTAAATTTGCAATATAAAATATTTTAAAATATTATTTTATCGAATTAATATATAATATATATTTTATTTAATTATATGTCAAAGATTGAAAAATAATTGACCCAAAAAATTCAAAATTTGACAAATACTCAGAGACGGAGGTAATATTTTTTCTATTTCCAATGGTCATTTGATAAAATTATACTCTGTATAATCTTATAATTTCTTGTTTTGACATTTGAATGACTCGATGTAGTCTTCAAAATCACTCTATAAATTTTGATTTTTTAAAATTTTATGCTGATTTTTATTTGAATTGAGAATAATTTTAGTTAAATATCGTAACAAGAATCTTATTTTAAAATGAAGGTTAATAAAAAGAAATATAAGATGTAAATAATGTACATGGAAGTGGAGTAAGGGAAGTATGAATTGAATAGCTCTAAACTCAACTTAATTTGGGAGACCAGGCTGATGAGGATCAGATACCTTGTCTTGCAAAAAAATTCTTCTTTTTTTGTCTTAATTTAAATTGTCTGTTTTAATTTAAGATTTTGGCTTAAACCATTTTATAATAATTTATTTAAAAATTGGAATAAAATTGAAAAATATAATTTATATATTTAAAAACTACACCAAAAGTTTTACGAAACAAGTGGCTTTATTATTGAATATTATTTTATCAAATGAATAATGAAAATAAAAAAATGAATAAAATTTAACCTTCCCAAAAGTAAAATAGACAGCTTAAGTTGAAACAAATGGAGTGACATATTTGATTTAAGTTATAGTCACATTTCGTCACAAAACTAAACTCACTCTGCACACTAAACTAACTCCATTAGCTTTTAAACGACTTTTATTTTTGTACTTTCCATAAGCTTAATGAAAGACTAAAATAACGGTTGCCAAGTTTTAAAAATAAAATGATGGGTATATATGTTCATCGGTTGTATCCGAACTCGATCGAATTGAGTCGGACCAGATCAAAGACCAAACAAGACAATCTCGACCTAAATATATTTGGTTTTAGACCAAAACGGTCTGGACCGAATGACCGGACTCCTGGCCTAAGTATCTACACGCCACTAACTTTATAATGCACACATGCAATTTCAAGTTCTGAAATTATCGGTTAACCAACTACTGACGGATTTGTCCGCTGTAATTTGTTGTCATCAGTATTTTCTGCTTCTAAAGTACTTTCTCTCAGCTCTAAAGTTATAAAATGGCACTAAAACTAAAACATTGTACATTGTATTGCTTTACATCATGTGAAGTAGGAGTAAGTTTTTCCAAGTTGTAATATGAATTGCACTAAGAGTATCTTTCATAAAAAGTTGCTTAGAATGTTTAATAAGTCAAGTTGTTTTTATTATTACATACCCCACAGTCTCTAAATGATTTACACATTTTACTATTCAAAAATCGCAGAAAGTATTATTTATTTGTGTGATTTAATAAATAAAATATTCTTGGCACTTTTTGTTTTGTAGAACTTTAGATGTATTTTATAAATATGTAAGCTTTATTTTTTATTTAAATACCAAATTTTAAATAAAATAAACTAAAAAAATTAAAATTTTACTTTTTTTGCGTAAAGGATAAATGATTTAGGGAGGGAGGGAGTACATGGTGAAGCAGCTTTCAAACAAATTGAAGTAATGATGCTTCCATGTATATTATAAGTCCATTCTGCAATTTTTATTAAGAAGTCCCTTTGAGTATTTACTCCTTCTATCCCAAAATAGATTACACAGTTATTATTCCACCCACTTAATAAATTTCATTTGTTGTTTTTATTTAGAATTTAATAAAATATTCTTGACACAACTTATAGTGAAGAATTTTTTATAATTTTTTTTGCATGTTCTTTGAATTGGGTAATCTAATTTGCGACCCATGGAGTATAAGAAACTCATACATAGGTAACAATTTGTATTAAAGATGCTCTAAAAATTAGGGAATAAAACATTCCCACTGTTACTTTAAATGATGTAAAGTGGGAGTAAATTTTGAATTTGTCAAACATGGCATAACTAGGCCGGTTGTTGACCAACCTTTCACTCCCTTCAATCAAAAGCAAAGTTGGCCACCAACAATAAAGATAACTCCCTTTCTTGTGCAATGGTGGAGAAATGACAAAGGAACATGCTACACTTACACCAACAAATATATTCCATTTGTACACCACAGGTTTGCACAAACATTTCGATGATTTACACCGACACAAGTGTTGGTGCGTTAATAAAAATTCAGACGGACACAAATATTGGTGCGTTTAACAAAAATTAGTTTTACACCGACACAAAATATTGGTGCAAAACTGCGGGGTACAAATCTTGGGGTACACATAGCATAATCCTTAGACAAAATATCAGTTTTAACTTTTATTTGGACAAACCCAAAAAAAAAATCTCTTTTTGACTAAAAATATATTTGTGAAACAAAGAAGGATAACAAATGGACACAAACAAAGCCACACACTATGACCATCTACATATATATATGAAAGAAATATGCATAATAATGTTGTGTTTGGCATCTAAATGCCGTCGAGTTTGCTTCCCGCAACGTCGACCACGAATCTGTACCGAACGTCGTTTTTCTCCAGCCTTTCCATCGCCGTGTTGATGTAATCCATCTTCACCACCTCGATTTGGGAGCTCAGACCCTTTTCCTTGCAGAACTCGAGAACTTCTTGCGTCTCTTCCACACTTCCTATAAAGCTTCCCGTGATGGTCTTCCTCCCTGACATAATGCACGTTAAGTTATTGTCATGTATGGTCTTCCACTTTTACCCTTTACTTTTTCAATCTCTCCTATAATTAGTTATTTATTTATACTTTTGAAACAAGTGTGGAATTTTGATGTCAAACTTACCGAGCATGACCATAGGGGAAATGAATTGTAGAGGGGTGTTGATCACGCCCATCAAAATGAGCTTCCCATCCACCTTGAGCAAAGAGAGGTAGGGCTCGAGAGGGTGGCCCACCGGAACAGTGTCAATGATGTAGTCGAGCGTGTCGGCGGCCGCTTCCATTCCCGCCGCGTCTGAGCTCACCAAGTAACCGTCGGCACCGAGGTGGTTCAGCGCCTCCTCTTTCTTCCTCTCCGACGAGCTGATCACGGTCACGTGGTGGCCCATTGCTTTCGCTATCTTCACGCCCATGTGGCCCACCCCTCCCAGGCCCAATATTCCTCCCCTCAACCCGCTCTGTTTCAGCCCAAAGTGGTTTAATGGGCTGTACACCGTCACTCCCGCGCACAGAAGCGGCGCCGCCTGTTCTAACGCCAGTCCCTCCGGTATCTTCACCACAAACCTTTTTTACATCATCAAAATAAGAAAAACTAGAATTAGATCAACTAGAACAAGTTTTTCCGTCAACGTGTATCTTCATGAGCGTGTAATTAATGTATTCTTAAATCTTGCACGTAACGACGACCATTCATGCAACGTCTTTGAATATTTAGGACTATCGGTGCAATTTTTGAAATTCTATTAAAAAACTCCGCGCAGTTTACGAGAGTTCAAGAGTAAATGACGCAAAAAAAAATGTCATTAGGGCAAGTTTAATTACTTACTTTTGATCAACAACAATGTGGGAAGAGAAGCCGCCCTGGGTGGGCTTGCCATCAGTGTAGACGTCATTGCAGTTCCATATCTTCTTGTTGCAGTACTGTTCAATCCCCTGCTTGCAGGGGCGGCACTCCCGGCAGCACCCGACGATCAGCCCCACCCCGACGTTGTCCCCGGCTCTGAACTTCCCGACGTCGGGGCCCACTTCCACCACCTCCCCAACCACCTCGTGCCTTCACAAACACACAGTCAAAAACACGTACAATACACAAACAAAAACATAGGTTTCGTATGCGGTACCGTTAGGCGTGGGATGAATATGTCAATGGTTGAATTAATGATCCGTGGAAACCAATTCTTTGGTCAAACCCACATTTTCTCTTCTTTTAATGACTCATATTTTTACATAATTAAGAAGCCTTGATTTTAGATATTCGTAAACGTGTTGGTTCTGATTGTCACTTTGGATCATATGAAGTTATAGTTATATTGTTACTATAATTCTTATACTAAGATTAACCCTATATATAGAGATAAATCTTTCATTATTCAATAAGATCAGTGATTTTTTTAAAAAAAAATAGATTGGAGGAGAAAAGGTACCCAGGGACCATGGGATAATTGGACATGCCCAAGTCATTCTTGACCTGATGAAGATCACTATGGCAGAGGCCACAGCACAAAACCTTTATGTAAACATCTTCAGGCCCTGTTTTCCTGCAAACCCACACCATATTTCACCATAAAGTTACAATCTTTACATTCTTTTCTGTCTTTAATTTGCTGAGTAAATTACAATCTAAAGCAGTGAAAAAAAATCAATGGTTGGAATGGATGTTGTGTACCTGAGATTGTAGGTGTATGGGGAGAGAATCCCAGATGGGTCTCTTGCTGCCCACCCCACTGTTTGTCTCTCTGCCTCTAAGCTGCCCATAATTATTAATTATAGTAATAATTAAAAAAAAAGAAGAAAAAAAAAAGAAATCTTGAAAATGGCTATGAAAGTTGTGGAGAAGATGAAGATAAGAATGGGAGATAGGGAAATGGAGAGAGATGAAGTTTTGGGTTGGCCTTCTCTGGATAGAAACTGTGCCCAAATTTATAGAGCCCAAAAAGAGTGAGAGATGTGAATTGGCTTTTTTGTTTTCCAATGGGAGTTGGAAACTTGACAAATTGACATGTCAGCGGCAATGTGGGCCCAACGGGAGTTGGTGGGCTTGGTGTCAAAAAATACACTCCATCATCACACTAGTCGGATACTTAGCTGAGAAAAGATAAATTGAACTAATTTCTGTCAGTTGACATAATAGTGGAGTTCCACACTTATTAGTTATTATTACTTGCAGAAGTCTCATGTTTTGCATGATTGTCTATCATCATAGCCAACATCATCAGATTTAGAGTTGGTGGGCTTGGTGGAAGAGGTCAATTATTAAATTGGGATTGGAAATTCAATTTTTTTGCTACCACGGAATTAACCGTGCATAGGGATGTCATTAAATTGGGGTTGGAGATTACATAAAGATAAAGATATTTGTAAAAGTAATTATGACCGAATGAATCTATGAAAATTAAATAATATATTTTTAACTAATAATATATGGAGCACAAAGAAAAATAAAATAGAGATATTATAAGATTTCAGCATGATAGAAAACAAAACACACAAAAATGTAATATGTTTTAACCCATTCAAAACATATGTATCAAAAACACATGAAATATATGAATATAGGATTTTAAAATTAAAGCATATTTGTAGTCGTGTTCAGGTCGGTTTGGATATTTAATTTTTGAGTTGGTATTTGGATATTATAAATTTCAGATTTGGGTAGAATAAGTTATATGCGCCCCAAGTCTCTACTTATAAAGATTCTCTCTTGGAAGGCAGAGTTGGTGGAAGTCCAATTACCTTTTTTTTATTTATATTTGTGTTTTGTTATGGGTTGATGATTTGATTAAAAATCTAAACAAAAGCATTCAAAAGAACAAGGAACTGTTTTTTGCGTTTTAAGAAACAAGCCATAAGAGTCATGTCTTGAGTAGGGATGTAAACAAATCAAATATTTTAAATTCGATTCGCGATTTGTATTCGAATATGATAATTCGAATTCACGCTATTCAAATACAAATTCAAATATTATTTTTGATTTGAATATTAATCAAATACAAATACAAATAGGGATATATTCGATTCGGATGATATTCGAATATTCGAATATATGTATATATATACACAGACCATGTTTTCAACATCAAAAGTCAAGCAAAGTAATATAGTATAAAGTGTATTTAAAATACTAAGAATTGAATAAATTAACGTAACACAAAAATCTAAAGCATATGATTTTTAATAGTTATATTTTATAAAATATAATTTGTGTAAGATGCAAATGTATTAATGTTTTTATATACGGAATATAGTATAGTATAAAGAGTATCGTAAGTTAAATTATAAATTGATGTTGGTCCATCATATAAATTACATAGTATGATTATTCAAATATTCGTTTATGATTCGATAACTATTCGAATATTAATCAAATACTTATTCAAATTTTATTTTGAATTCGTCTCATATTCGGATTCGGATTCGTATTCGAAAAAATTAAACAAATACAAATTCAAATATATCGGTATTCGCTTCGATTCGATTCGTTTACACCCCTAGTCTTGAGTGTTCATTCTGCAATGAAGAATTGTCCTCTTGGGTTGGCCAATTTATTGGGCAAGTTAATTCATTTTGCATTACTCCCTCCGTCCTATAATGATCTTCCCGGTTCTGTTTACGAACTTTGACCGACTTTATTTTTAATTCAATTTATTTGATTGTAGGTGTAAAATTAAAAAATAAAATTTATATATTTAAAAACTACATCAAAAGTTCTACAAAACAAGTGGTGACAAGACTATATTATTTTATCAAATACCTAATGAAAATACGTAAAGAAAGTGATTAAAGTTTGACCGTGTGAATAGTAAGTGGGAAGAACATTTTAAGACAGGGGGAGTATTATTTTTTATGACTATTGATTTTGATTGCTTTTTTTGTAGTTACTATTCTCGGTGTGGTTCTGAGATTTCTATCTTTCTATTTTGACAATAAGCAAGGAAAAGAGAGGATTTCTATCTTTCTCTTGGGTTTGCCAATTTATTGGGTAAGTTTTTGAAGATTTCTATCTTCAAAAACTATACATTTGTTTATAACAACTTTCCATCGACCCCTCAACTCATTTCAACTATTTGAGAGGATGAGAGACTAAAAACTAAAATAGAGTTTTAGATTGGAATATTATTTGGTCCGAAATTTTTTAGTACCTTCTAAAAAGTCAGTAGATTTAAAAGATCTATGGACTCTGCGTAGAATTTGATCAACTTTTTTATTGATGATTTACATGATCTTTTTTTTCATCCGCATTTGATCAAACAACATCCAAATTTATAATAAATGCGTTCTTATACCAAGTAGAACCAAATAAGCCATGCAAAAGTTTAAAAAATTAAAAATGAAGCCCACAAAAAACACACAAAAAGTAAAAAATTAGGAAAGAAATAAAAAATCAAAACAAAAATACCTGCGCAAGAAAAAAAATCAAATCAAAGCTCACATGAATGGATTGTGGATTGAGGCAGTCAGAAATGACAATGCAACAAAGCTAAACATTATAGTAATATCACTCCGTATTATTTATTAGAATATCATTATCAATGTGTGATAGGTAGTAATACTGATGTATTCAATTTATGAAATATATTTTTAATTTATTTTTTTTCTCCATAAAAATATATTTGTGTGTTTATAATACTACATCCGTCTCACTCTCTTTGTCCACTTTTGACTTTTGAAACTGTTTATCTAAGCACTTTGACTCATCAAATTCTCTCAATGGTGTAAGCCTAAATATAGTCATGTATGATCTTGTTTGATTTGTCTTAACATATAGATTATTAATATATAATTTCTATAATTTTTTAATATACAAATTACAAGATAAAATGGATTAAAGAAGTGCATTGGATGGTGTGCCAAAAGGTATGTGGACAAAGAGGAGTGGGACGGAGGGAGTAATTTGAAATAATATTATTGTTCTTTTGATTGTTATTAATATTAATGTGTTATGATTATTTTTGTATAATTATACTAATAATAAATATTTTAATTCATTTGGGCCGGGTTGGGAGCATAAATCCGAGCCCGAGCCTAAAATATTTGAGCCATCATTTATAAGCCCATGTCTTGCCCATACCATTAAATATCAAGTCAAAACACGTTATTTTACGGGCGAGCCAGATACCCAATCCGTGATTGGGTGTACTTGTAATCATATTCTAAAAGCAACTATAATCATTTACTACGTATTTTCTAGCCTTTCATCATTGCAGTTTGCACTTACCCATTATGCAGCAATAGTAATAGAATGCACACAGCAGAACAAGCTCCATCAAATGTACCCGGAGTAGTAAGCGAGTAAATAACGAACATATGTAAAAAAAAATCTAATTCCTGACAGTGTAAGTCAGACATTTTTTCCTGACAGTTGAATACGGATTTGTTCACTCCGTTTTTACGTGAAATTTTTAAGTAAAACCGAGTAGCCTAATCTGTCTCCTTCATTTAAATGTCAAACGTTTTTTGTTCCAAATTTTTGTTCCGTTATTTTGTTGCTTTGTTGCTTTCTTGTTCAATAATGTCCAATTATTGACTTTCTTGCTTTGTTGTTCAATTGGAGTTTTTGCTTTGTTGTTCCAATTTTTGTTCCAATTTTTTTTGTTCCAATTTTTTTTGTTCAATTTTTTTTTTCCAATTTTTTGTTCCAATAATAATTTTCTTAATCAAATAGTTGTTGTTTGTTTCAATTTTTTTGCTTTAAACATTTCTAACTTTTTTAAAAAATATTTTATTAAACTTTAATTGTTTATTTTGGTTATGTATGTAAACTTTAATTGTGTAACACCCCGACTCGCGTAACCCGAATACAAGGACCATCGGATAGGGTTGCTACTAAATTGGTATTCAGACACAATAATAATTTTCAAAACAATTAATTCATAACAATATTTAAATATCCATCGGAGTTAACAAAACAGTGCGGAAGCCTTTAAGTACTTAATCAAAATACAACTTTGGGTTCTTGCCCTTAATATATAATAATTTAAACTTAAGTATCAAATAATAAACTCCTCCAGTTAGCATCCATCCACCTCTTCGCCCTCGTTGCCTCCAGGATTGTTGCCTTATTCATCATTCATGTTACTTACGTGTAGCAAATAGGAAAAAAGGGCTACACGCTCAGCATTGAAGCTAAGTGAGAACTATCTAACGTTTTGACTATGCACATAGACGAACCCACTAGCTCATAACTTCATACAATATCATGCACACAAGTACAACATCAACAACGTCATCAATGTCATATAATTCATCACTCAAGCATAATTACCATAATTAACAAACTTATCTCATAATCCACTTCTTTATCTCTAGGCTCATAACCTATCCTAGACTGAGGCCAACTACTTTATTCTAGAGTCCTGGTTCAACCACATCAATGGAAGAACCCGCTCGATACGACGTCATCCAACGTCGGCTGGGTGGGACCACCTACTCACATCCATGAGTAGATCTACTACCCCCGTGCGCACGCTCTACCCAACTGATCATGCGTACACGCCGGCTCATCACATGACCAGTTATTTCTAACTGTATTCCTTATTCCGTTTTGTCGGTCTACCTATGATTCATCTAGGTAGCCTATCCGTATTCAAATTCATAATTTCATATTTCTAAATTCATACAAGAATACAATATGTTAAATAACATTCATAGTCAACAAAAATAGCGGCCTAGTGTTGGGTGTAAACACCTCCCACTTACCGTCATGCAAATCACACAATTTAGAGTAAGAAACGTACCTAGTCATCTTTGTTCAATCAAACCCAATAATAATATATATTATAAATAAATCATAATTCCATTTCCATCCAGTTATTTCAGTGGATGGAACTCACTTATACGGCAAGTATAATGGATGTTTATTACTTGCCATGGCAAAGACGCGAAATGGTGAACTTT